AGCATACATAGAGACAGACAGACGGCGGATAGTGACTTTGTCTTTGACTTTGCGCGAGGCTCTCAGGCATCAGATCCCAATCGGTTTGTTCCACTAAGGCCAATGTCCGACTGGACCTGCAGAAAAATGCAAAGAAAAGTTATAGCGCAGTAGTTTTTAAGCAGTGAAGTCCGACACTTCCTTTCGCCTCATCTGGGGCGGATTGAGCCACTCGATAATTGCCCTTTCTCAAAAAAAAATCTCGTATATAGAAGAGGTATACTTCAAAAGGGAATGTTAATTGTATGATGTTAATTTTAAATATTTTTGGTCACAGTTCCGTCTTTGGCGTAAGAATCGCAACACCAACCTTGGCGTAGGCTCCTGCATGGGCGTCGACCTGAACAGAAACTTCGATATCAACTGGTCAGAAGCTTCCAGTAGTGTCCCTTGCCTCGACACCTACCATGGAAGAGGTCCCTTCTCTGAACCGGAAACTTCCGTAATCAAATCTGTTTTCGACAAATACATAGACAGAATCGGATTGTTCCTGGACATCCATAGTTTTGGAAGCATGATTTTATATGGATATGGAAATGGAATACTACCTCCAAATGCCCTTATGATCCATTTACTAGGAGTCAGAATGGCAGAGTCCATTGATGCTGTTAAAATGAGCTGGAATTCCAATTATGTTGTTGGTAACGTTGCCATGGTTCTGTATGATGCTTCAGGTAGTGCTGGAGACTATGCCCAATCTGTTGGTGTACCTTACTCCTATACTTATGAACTGCCTGGACACAGATTTGGTATTGGAGGATTCGGTTTCTTCGTAGACCCTGCGTTTATTGAACAAGCTGGTTTCGAAACCTGGGAAGGCATCAAGACAGGCGCCAGATTCATTCGTGACAATTACAAAAAGAGCAATCTTTAAATGAATAAGTTTGGATTCATTACTTATCATGTCATTGTCGATAAATTTGTCTGCGTTATATTCATTTGTTTCTATATTATAAATACTGATTGATAAGATGATTGTTTTTTATTTCAGTACGAAGGGCGTCAGTACTATTCATGCATGCATGCATTCGTCAAAAACAATAGACGGCCTAAAGGCTCGTACACAAAACAGCGGTGCGAATTCGCAACTCAAAATATTACGATGCGAATTACTGCGATGTGATTTCGTGCGACAAGGCGTCTCCGAGGGTGACCATTCCTTCGACGACCGTCCATTGTAATAAACGTATTTTAAATTGAAAACTAGGTCGCGACATGGGTCGTAAAAGTCCACTTTTATTTTGTTATTGCTTAGGAGATACAGGAAAAGTAACAAGGAAGATTTTGAGAAGGTAAGATTTTGATGCGCGATGCGAATCAATTCGCAAGTTCTTGCGATGCGTAGAGGGAGCTCGCAGATTCTTGCGATGCGACGACGCATCGCAGTATTGTGTACGAAACCTAAACGTTGCCGCTTCGTTAACAGTTTTCATTGTATCTAACCAAGATGCAAGCATTTGTCATTTGTTGGTCGCCTATTGTTTGTAAAGTGAACATGCATTTGTCAAACGACGCAGCGTGGACAGTTACCCCTCACACACAGTACACCGTACTACACATAAAATACTAAAATTTATTACTGCCTCATTAGCCGAGTGGTCGCAAGTGTGACTGCCGGGCAAGGGGTCGCGGGTTCGATTGCCGGGTTGAGCAAAGTATTACTGGGTTTTTAAAAAATCCCATTAATAGCACGGAGTTTGGAAATGTGCGTGGTAGGTATATGGCAATAGGTTCACCCCTTATTACATGGGACTCATAACATAAATAGTGAAAAGTGGGTGTTGCATTGTACAGTGGCATTATGTGCCGTAATGTGCACCTCTGCCTACCCCTTCAGGGACAAAAGGCGTGATTTTATGTAACATTTAATAAAAGTACGTACATCGATCGGTTTGTGATGCAAAAAGTATACATAATACATTTTGTCAGTTGGTTTCTTGTCAATCGTTTTACACGTGCAGCCTGTGGACTAGGTATACCCAGCAGGCATATAGCGACCTGCGAGTCCATTACAATGACGCATTCAGGGTGCTTTTGGGGTTACTGTGGCGATGTAGTCCGTTGGGGATGTTCGTTGATGCACGTCAACACGTGAAAGTGATGAGCTTCCATACTGTTGCGTCTGCGCGCCTCATCCAATGGCATCCCGAAGGTGTTCTCAGACAGATGGTACTCTCCCCTCTTACAAAGATGGATAAGTGTCTAGGCACACATGTCCTATTTTAATTAAATCTTGATATTAACATTAGGCCAAATTGTAAATATTAGGTACTTGAAAATATTTGCAAGTACCCGTTGGATATCACTAAAACAAAGGAGAACAAAAGCTGTATACATTACAGAAATGCATTAGCTGTGATAGATTGTAAGTATAGACTCGGTACAGACTCATCAATTTAGCTAAACGACAACGTGCCGCTAACTCAGTGGCAGCCAGGCAAGCTAGTGGTCATGCGCTGACCTATTATGTATAAATATAAACCTTTTAACACTCTATAACTTGTATAGAGTATGAGGCTATTAAGAAAATGCGCATGATTTATCTGTTTTAAACCGATTTAAAAAAAAGGAAGTTTTCAGAAAATTGTTTCTTAGGAACACTTAGGAAAAGGTTTTTTTATGGGATGAGCCGGTAAACAAGCAGACGGATCACCTGATGGTAAGCAATCGGCGTCGCCCGTGGACACCAGCAACACCAGATATGTTACAAGTGTGCTACCGGCTAGGGATTAGAAATTTGAGGACTGTTAGGGATTCAGGAATTAGGGGGGATTGGGGAGGAGGGAGGGTGAGGGTTTTATCACTTAGGAGCAAGTTTTGTTATATTAATTGACCGTTATAGTCGATTTTTTTAAACGTACTTTATAGAAAGTTATTGGAGGAGGCCTTTGCCAACTGGCAAACGGATTTACAAAAAGTGAAACCAGTGTAAATAAAAATGTACAGCCTTGGCCAAAAGTATTGAGCACCCTACAAATTTAGCTCATTTACGGTAAGTGTGGGAGAAAACTATATCTATTGTTGATGAACTATTTTGTCGGTCATCTACAAAGGTTTAAAAACAATGACTCACGCCGCAGCTAGCAACAAAACACCTGGGTGCAATGAAATGTGTATTTTACAATTTTTGTATTTATTTATCAGTTCGTTACCATCGCTCATTGTGAACACATTCAGTAGACTACTGCGCTTTTTGTATTTTATTTCGGAAGTTATTAGTATTATCATTGCAAAATGCCTAAACGAAACGAACTTTCTTTAGAAAAACGTGTACAGATACAGCTTCTGTATGAGCAATGGAAATCGCAAGTAGAGATTTCCAAAACTGTGAAATGTTCGCGTCGATCCGTGCATATGCTAGTTAGCGGTTCTCTGCTACCGGATCACATGAAAATAGATCAAGAACCGAGCGCAAACGCACCACCACAGACCGTCAGGATCGTCAGTTTCTGAGAGAGTCATTAAGAAATAGGAAAAAAAACATCTTCCGAGCTTGCTGCTGAGTTGTCAGAACAAATTATGAAACCAATTTCCGTTCGAACTAATCGTAGAAGGCTTCAAGAATCTGGCCTGAAAGGATGTAAAGCTAGGAAGAATCCATGGCTCTCAGACAACAACAAAAAAGCTCGGTATGAATGGACCTTAAAACACCGAACTTTCGCCGCTGAAGATTGGTCAAATACTGTGTGGTCCGACGAATCAAACTTTGAGGTAAGTTCGTCGATTTAATGCCCTAATACAATTTTATAAAATGGTTGAAAAACTAAACGCATGAAAGAAGTAATTTTAGTTTTACAAAACTCAATATTTTTCCTTTTTTACAGATTTTTGGTACACCTGGTGTGACCTTCGTGCATCGCCGTATGGGCGAAGAATTTAATGCCAAAGTGTGTGATCCCCACCGCTAAACATGGCAGCGGCAGCATAATGGTCTGGGGTTTCATGACCGATTCTGGAGTTGGCGAATTGTTCGTGCGGCCCTCATGCATGGACTCTACCAAGTACATAAATGTACTAGAAACTGCGTTACTGCCTTCATTCACGAAACTTTTTGGTGACACGAACATGGATGGTGTAAAATCCAGCAATATAACGCACCATGCCACAAATCTGCCCGCACAATGTCATGGTTTCGGGAAAACAACACGGAGCTTCTTGACTGGCTTGCCCAGTCTCCAGATCTGAACCCCAAAGAATATTTATGGGGTTTATTAAAGCGTAGGATTAGGCGCCACACAATCAACAACAAGGAAGATCTCAAACACTGCCTGCGCCTAGAATGGAACGCAATTACTTCTGAAGACTGTAAAAATCTCGTTAATAATTCACCAAAAATAATTTCTGCTCTAATTACGGCAAAGGGTGGACCAACAAAATATTGATTTTCTATTAATAAATAGTAAAATAAACCCATATAAAATGTTTTGTTTTATTTCAATTTGATACTCAGCTTAAAACTTAAAGATGTCATGGGTGCTCAATACTTTTGGCCAAGGCTGTATAAGTTAGGTTCACGTAATGTAAGAGAGTATTTTGTTATCCGAATAAAAGGCTTATTATTATTATTATTTATTATAGAAAGTTATACAATTGTGTGAATGTGCTAAACTCTGAGATTTTTGATTCGAAGTATTAAGAAAATCGGGGCTATATAGACCATTTATTGTCCGAATGATGTTTCCTTGCTAGTCATTTAGATATTTAGGATTAGGGCAAAAGGGAGGGGGGGGGGTCTATGGTAATCTCACTCACGTGGCAAAGCAACGCAATTTGGTTTCACGTCAAATTTCTGTAAGAATATTAAGATATCGATATCATCTATTTATCAGGAGCTTGCATGCTCAGCATACTTAAGGAACATGTTGTGGTCAAGATAATATACTTTTTGTACAGGATTACACAGATTAGATAAAAAACTTCTGTTCAACAAGTAATTAATCCATTACGTGTTCATTCTTTCGTTCATTTGCATATTTGCGCATAACTAATTACAATGTTATTACGTTTCGTATGTTTTTCTTTCATGTTTTGCTTTTTTGTTGCCGCAAAAAATGAAGATTATAAAGGGTGAGTCTCCTTACTTTTACTTTCTACCTCGCACAGCCGAACTGGGTAATGAATAGGGTAGTTACTTAAATTTTATTTTAATGGCCGTGTGGTTTATAACCATTTGAGTACCGTCATTAAAGACACAATTAAAGAACAATAGGTTGCGGTCACCGCTGTCCTCGCGGTGTTTGACAGTTTAATTAAAAACTTTAGACACGTATTTCTTCTTTTCTCACAAAATTAAATCATTTCGACGATATATTAATTTGAAATATTGTGTGACGTCACAAAGTACCACATTTTGTAGCACGTTATGACGTAACGATCTCCCACTCCTAAAACTAGCGCCATTTTATCTAAGTATTGCAACAAATAAAAGAGTACTAAAAAGTCTAAAATTTTTTCATTATCTAACTGACGGACCAATTAGATTTTTAATTTTGAGACCCTGGAAACTACCAAATTGTAGCAGCAGGATTTCCCAACCGACATGACCATTAAAGAAAGCACAATATTATTTAAAAGACTTAACGTACTAGTCGTACTGTTAATTCTGATGGCTGCCATGGGTAGCCAACCATCAATTAGTATTTATGGCAATAATCTTCAGGTGATTCGCCTATTCGTTTAACCACCATCAGTGGATATCGTCACTCTACCTAACCGGAGGCTGCAGACTAGAAAATATTTGGTGGTCCAAGGCTCTGGAGTCCTATAAAGTGCGCTCAACATACAGCCTTTAGACGTATTCCCTGATGTCTGCCTCTTAGAGAGACTCATGTCAAACGTTCCTAATTAAGAATTATTATTATTATTTATTTATTTTTAGCCATGATCGTCCCACTACAGGGCACAGGCCTCAAATTAAGAATTAGTTGAAATAAATGCTTTGATTTTGAATATGGTTGTGTGCGCGACTATCGAGTCGCAGATTCGAAAACTGGACAAAGCCTATTTATGTTTATGATTGGTTTTCGTAACAGCACAGCATTTTGACCTGTCCATAGGTTCATCACTATTACACTTCAAGGGACTCATAACTTAACCGGTAAAAATAAATAATATATAATTTAAAGTATGTGTTATTTAATTTTCAGCTATAAAGTGTATAACATAGAATTGGAATCAATAGAACAGCAGGATAATATAAGAATTTTGAAGAGTGATCTAATAGACTTTTGGACACACCCTAGTTACAAGTATGGCGTCGTTGGCAAGGTTTTGGTGCCGCCTTCTCATTTCATCTGGTTCGAGGAGAAACTACAAGAGCTGGGAGTAAACAGAGATGTGTATATTGAAGACGTTTATGAGTAAGTGAGATAGAAATATATTTTTTTCTTCACGCAATTATAAATTAAGTTATACTATTATATGTATGTGTTATATTGTAGTATTATTGTATTAATATATGCATTCGTTGCCTGACGTAAATGAATAAAGAAAAGAAAAAAATCATAATCTGATTAAAAATAACTCTTGCAAACTATTCGAGGAAAGCTCAACTAGTTTCACATGACACTGGGACTCTTATCCACGACTAGCCTTTGCTACTGATATTGTTGATAATGCTGATGATATGTTATGTATGTACTTACAGGTACTTAACTGGAGTGGAGAACAGGACGAGGCTACCAAGGAGTGTGGATGAAGATCATTATTTTGATGTCAATAAGTACCACAGATACGATGATGTCAGTATACTATAATGAAAACAATATTATTTCTTATTTACAATAGGGGCTAAGGTTTTTTGGCACCAGATAGTGCAAACGTATGAGGGGATTTTTTTTGTCCAATCACCGCAGCTGTCAAATATTGAACGTCCAATGACGTGCCACTAGCTAGTTCCCCATTGGACGAAGAATAAGAGATTCTCACTAGCGCTATCTGGTGAGGAAAATACGTAGGCCCCATTAATTTTGAAGTTGGCTCTGATCAATAATTTTATATCTTTTATTAATAACTAGCGACCCGCCCCGGCTTCGCACGGGTGCAATATGTATATACATACAAACCTTCCTTAGGAATCACTCTATCTATTAAAAAAAACCGCATCAAAATCCGTTGCGTAGTTTTAAAGATCTAAGCATACATACGGACATACAGCGAAAGCGACTTTGTTTTATACTATGTATTGATTCAAACTAATGTTAATTCCTGCCAACTGTCATGCTGTGAAAATTGCTTATAAGGTATTGTTACACATGCTAATTTCACACAACAAGCACAAAAGCACTTGTCACTTAGTAGGATGTGTGTTGGAATGTTACTCAAAATTAGCGTGCTCATGTCGAGCATGTTTGCGAACCGACAGCCGTTCGATTTATGAACGTTTTTGTGCATGCTCAATAGAACGCCTTTTAGCATGCTATTTTAGAACATATATCAACTAGTGCTTTTATGGTGCAGTTGCTTGACTGCCTACTGTGCAATCAAATCTCGCACTGAACGAGTATTAAACTGTCAAACACCAAGCGGTCACCGGTGACCGCAACCTATTGTTCTATAATTGTGTCTGCAAAACCGGTACTCGACGAGTTAATATAATAGGGTAGTATCCCAAATGGTATTTTAATGTCCGTCTGGTAGATTATATTAAAACATTAGACACGTATTTTTTCTTTTCTCAAAAAATAAAATATTTTTGACGATATATTGATTTGAAATGTCGCGTGACGTCACAACGTGCTACAAAATGTACCACGTTATGACGTAACTACCTCCTATTTCTAAACTTAACGCCATTTTTTGTAAGTATTGTAACTTAATACGAGAAAAAAAATACGTGTCGAATATTTTTTCATTATCTAACTGACGAACTAATTAGATTTTTAATTTTCTTACCCTAGAAACTACCCTATTCACAAATTGTCAGTCCCTGAAAGGAAAACCTTGAGCAATATTTATAGATGTTATATGTGTACTCCAAATCTTCCAGATCCTGGCATATCTTCGCAAATTACACGAGCAATCAGCTGACTCTTTAACCATGGTGGAACTGATAGAATATGGGGTTACAGCCCAGAATAGACCTCTGGTCTATTTGAGGATAAGTCGTGGTACCAATGAAAATAATAGTCCAGAAAAACCTATCATTGTAATCGAAGCTGCCACAAATCCGAGAGATTGGGTAACGATTCCAGCCGCGTTGAATATTGTAGAAAATCTTCTGAAGGAACAAAAATTTTTGGATAACCTCGAATGGATTGTAATCCCTGTTTTGAATCCGGATGGATATGAGTACACTCATACCAATGTGAGTAATTTTATGTTTTTTTAAAGTACCTGAGATGATTTTGATTACTAGACTACCTTGTAAGAAAAGTACTTGATTAACGATTTTAATTTAAAGTGGTTCAAGTAGCAAATTACTATTGGATAGTTTAGTTCAGTCGGGAGTCGCGCTTGCACACAGGGCGATCGACGAAAAGATATTTTAACTTCTGACTGTCTCGTTGGGCGAGTAGTCGCAAGAGCGGCGGCAAGGGCTCTCGGGTTCAATTCCCGGGTTGGGCAACGTACTACTGGGTATTTTAAAAATTATCTTGTATTCGCTCAGAGTCTGTAATTGTGCCCAATATATTATGGCAATAGGCTCACCCCCTATTACATGGGACTCATAACATAAATAGTGAAAAGTGGGTGTTACCTTGTACAGCGGCATTAAGTGCCGCAATGTGCACCTTACTCCTTCGCGGATAAAAGGCGTGATGTTTTGTGAAATAAACTCTACTAACAATTGAAAAAGAAATAATATTCAAATAAATCAAAATATTGAATATTTTTTTCAGGTTCGCCTCTGGCAGAAATCTCGGAGCACCAACAGCAACATGGGACACATTTGCCCCGGAGTCAACATCAATCGCAATTTTGACTACGACTGGCAGAACTTTGAAGCCAGTTCTAGTCCATGCAGTCATTTATACGCCGGAGTGGAACCATTCTCAGAAATCGAAAGCCGTATGATTCAAGATATAATCAACAAAAATGCGCCCAGAGTTAAGCTGTATATGTCTTTACAAAACAATGGAGGTTACATTTCAGTACCCTGGTATTACGAAAGAGCTGCAAGTGGAATGTTCAGACAGCATTACCTTTTAGGTTTAGATATGGTAAAAGCCATGAAAGATGCGTACAATGTAGATGTTGGATCATATATATTTGATAGAATATCAGGTACCAGTACCGATTACATAAGAAGTAAAACCGTGTTGTATACTTATATTTTTGACATAGTACAACGCGGCAATGGAGTGATTATACCTGAGGAAGATATAGGTGCTATAGTCGAAGATGTTTGGAAAGCGGTTACAGTTGCCGCCGAAGAAATGATGAGATTAAACAGTTCCAATTATTCTGTGTTTTTTTAAAACAGTTCTTCCATTTTTATGAAGTGGAATGAGAGTCCGAGTCCAATGAGAAATTATGAGAGGATTGTATCAAGATTTGGGCAGTCAAATAGAGTTAGTCATGTTTTGACAACAGAACTGATAATAGTATGCCATGTATTCTAGAATATTTTTTTATGGAATAGGAGGCAAACGAGCAGACGGGTCACCTGATAGTAAGCAATCAGCGCCGCCCATGGACACCTTCAACACCAGAGGAGTCACAGGTGCGTTGCTGGCCTTATGAAAAGGAACATTTATCTGATTTTTGAAAATTCTTAGTACTTAAGTAGTCTGGAACAGAGCCCGGTGTATAATAAATTTGCTCACACTCTATTACGGGTCATACCTCATACAACATTATAACAAACTTGCCAATTAAACAAGTTAATGTGTAAAAAACAAAATTAAATCTGAAGCAATGTTAAACCGCATATTATAACGGATTACTGAAATAATCAATTCCATTCCTTCTAGCCTTATTAAATTCTCGAGGCGTCCCCAAGTCTACGAATACTTGAAATTAAAAATCCGTCCATTTTTCATCTTAATACTGTCTTTGATATCTACGGTCAATTGTTGAAGATTAACTTAATATTTTACTGAGGAAATAACGAAGTTATTTGAACGATAACAAGTGTTATATATTATTTAGTTTGCTATTACATTTTGTAATATATTTGCTATTACATGTATGTACATTTTTGTTTGTTAAGGATGACATTTCCCTAAATTCCCTTTTATGAATGAGTGACTGACCTGCCGGGGCCACGACATTAGCTAAGTTTACTGTTACCCCGGTAAGGCATCGATTGCACAGTCAACCCAGACTGCGTGCTCGGATCGCGACACACGAAAATGATTACCAAAATAAGAGGAACACAAAGTAAGTTTAATATTTTATTATACGTATAAATAAATATTGTATATATCAGTCGTCAATTCTTAAACTATATTAGTATTCTTACACAGCCTTGCCATTCCTGAATGCAGCAGCAGCGGCCCTGGCGCCTACCTTGATACCTTCCCATGTCTCAAACCCAGCCTGTTCAATAAAAGCCGGTTCTACCAAGAATCCATCCATCCATATACTGTTCCTAAAAGCTGGTAACTCAAAAGTGTAAGAATAAGGAGCAGCGACATTTATTGCGTAGTCACCAGCACCACCAGAAGCGGCATACCTAAGAACATGTAAGATGTTTCCAACAACGTAATTCTTGTTGGAGGGCCACTTGACTCTATCGATAGCTTGGGCCATTTGAACACCGACTAAATTCAGTTGTAGTGCATTGGGTGGTAGGACACCATCACCATAAGGAAACAGGATCATACTTCCAAAGCTGTGAATGTCAAGAAACAAGGCCATTCGGTTCTTGTGTTCAACTATGATATCTCGAATTACAGCTGTTTCAGGTTCCGAGAAGGGTCCTGCTCCATGGAAGGTGTCCTGACAAGGATTGGAACTAGATGCTGTGCCCCAAATGTGGTCGAAGTTCCTGTTGAGGTCTACGCCAGGACAACGGTTGGCAACCATGTAGCGAGTGGCACGGTTCTTCCGCCAGAAGCGATCCTGTGGATGAAGGGAACGGTGTGGTTATTATGGGACTTCTGTTATCATCTGGCTTATTCTACCCAAAAGGTGGATTATGAACCACTTTCCTTAGCCATGCTCATGACTTATTTTACTTAGTACTTAGTTATTGGTACCGAAAATAATAACAACTTTGATATCAATCGTTATCTTGAACCGATCGTATGTATCTGCTTAATGACTAGACTAGATAATTAATTATGGGAAACACGTGGGTATTTTTAAACAACGAAATTCAATGCCACGTATTATTGGAGATTTTAAAAGGATTATATTGGTTATTGGTTTTCGAAATTGATTAGAATACTTACGGTGAGTGTGAAGATGTATCCATCAGGATTGGCGATAGGCAGAATGATCCAGTCAATGTTCTGGACAAGGTCGGATTCTGAGACATCGACAACTAACTTTCGGATGGCGTAAAGAGTTGCTGGTAGGGTCACCCATTCTCGACTGTGGAGTAGAGACTGAATCATCACGACTGGCTTTCTGGCATCCTAGAACAAAAATGGAAATTAATGTAGAATTTTGGGGACTATTAATAATGTTGCTTTTTATGTATGTCTTTGAATTATGGTTCTTACCTGGAAGTTGGTGGTGGAAATCTTAAGGTACCTGATGGGTCTGCCTTCAACGCTTCTACCTCCGAGGACCACGGAGACAACATTTGGGTAATCTCTTGCTAGTTGGTCTAAATACGCCTCAACCTGCGAATGGATATTGCAAGTTTAGATAATTACCAAAATTGTATACGTCTTAACTCGTCGAGTACCGTCATTATAGACATAATTATAGAACAATAGGTTGCGGTCACCGGTGACCGCTTGGTGTTTCACAGTTTAACTGTCATATCAAAGAGGTGGTTTCTGTCCTTGTCCTAAGTGGCTTGGCGTCAGAGCTTTGTGTATTTATTCCCTATTTGTTCATATTAGACATAATGACATCTCTAACTTCTGACACATTTTTATTCTTTCTGTCACACTGGATCCATCTCTTATTTACATTATCCTTTTTCTTCCATCCAGATTTCCACACATTGTCTAAATAGGATTATTTTTATATTTTTTTTTATATTTGATGGTCTCACGTTTGTCCACTATCTCGTTTGGTGGTAAGCGATGATGCGGTCTACGATGGAGCACGTCGTCCCATAAGCAACATATTCAATCGGGCCTCGAAGACACCCAGGTTTGATGATAGCGATGACTATGTTTCTCATTTTCACTTACCTCTTCATAAGTGTGGATTCTTTCAAAACCAATGCGGGAACTATTGCTTCTCGCTGCAGCAGATGCTAGAAGTTCATCTTCTTTGTCCAATTGCCTAGAAGATTTCGCATTTATTAATTGTGGTTTTAGAGTGGTAATTCTGTTTCTTTATGCAGAACAAGTTTATTTTCCAAAATCTGACATTGAAGTCGTAGTTTGTACTTACTCTTTAATATTCTCTGTTTCGACTTTGTATTGTACACTGTTTTGTTCTAAGAAGTTTTCAAAAATGTCTCTCTTGGCTTTAGGGACGAGAACCTTTCCAGGATGACCAGGCACAGCGTGAGACCAGATATCCAGAAGCAAATCATTTTCAAAGTCATGAACCAGTTTCGTTTGTTCTACAGAATGGACATCGACCTCGTAAACAGCATGCCTGTAAAGAAAGCAATTGCATTTATTTGTTTATCTATAGACACATTTGTTCTTTCTTGAGGTGAGAGAGCCAGAAGTGAAGCTTGAAACATATATTTGACAGTTTTTTTTTTGCATTAAGAATCAAAGGATTAATAAGGACAAAATTCAAGTAGTAATCAGGAAAATTCTACTCATCGAAAAGGTTTTCGAGATCATCCTCTGGGTGATGATGAAAAACTCGACCAAAGACAGCAGTAGATAGATAGTCTATAATATTATTATCAACAATACATACCCAATTAAGTAAAAACGCGGGTTACTCACGTAAATATACTGAGAAAAGCTCTACTAGTTTCGAACCTATTGTTCGAACAGTGAGCTGCGCGAAGGCTGCACATGAGGAAGAACCCCTCTGTGGTTCGAAACTAGTAGAGCTTTTCTCAGTATACTCACGTGAGTAACCTGCGTTTTTACTTAATTTAGTATGTCTCACGATAGTTATTATAAATACATACCCATCATAAAGTTCATGTTTGGCTAAGACACCATAAAACAAACAGACCAGTAGTAAATACTTCATTTTGAATGTGACCCCTTTGGAGCACAATTTATGAATACTTTTCGAAAACAAAGACCAATGCATTTTATGGAAAAGATGATCCGATAATGAAGTAGATAAGATAATCATTAACTTATGTTATTATGATAAGAGTGCAAAATTAATAATTTTAAAAGGTTATCTCGTAATTGGGTAATTTCTTGTTGATGGAGGATAATATTTAATCGATCGGACAGTTTGATATGCCAAACTACACTGGTTATGTAACAGTGATGAGCTTATTGCTATGCACCGGAACTACGTGCAACTCTCGGAGCTGCGGAGAAGTTAACGGGTCACCGGGACTCCGGCTCGAAGCAGGATTGGGAAAGGGGTGTTTTAGTCAGTAAGAGTCTGACACTCACTCTCGCCTGACCTAAGACGGGAGAATGAAGAAGGAAGAAGAAGAAGAAGTGTGGGAGAGCCATGCTTCGGCACGAATGGGCCGGCTCAACCGGAGTGATACCACGGTCTCAAAGAAAACCGACGTAAAGCAACGCTTGCGTTGTGTTTCGTCGTGTGAGTGAGGTTACCGAGGTCCAATTATCCTCCCCTTCCCCAATCTTCCCAATTCCTGAATCCCCTACGATCCTCAAACTCCTAATCCCCAAAAGGCCGGTAACGCACTTGTAACGCCTCTGGTGTTCCAGGTGTCCATGAGCAACGCCGATTGCTTACCATCAGGTGATCCGTCTGCTTGTTTACCGGCTTATGCCATAAAAAAAGGCACTGAATGATTTTTTCCCCGTCAAAAAAAAAACTATGTGCTATTACTTTTTTGCCGACAAATATACAACAGTAATTTACCCAACATCAAGAATCTTAGGTAGATTTATCATCATCATGAACAGCCCTTGTTAGTTCACTGTTATGCTGTGGGCCTTCGTTTCTGGTTTCAACAGCTCCTTTATGAGGTCTAAAAGTAAACCAAATAGTATAGACTAAAGCCACATCAATGTTAATGTATGGAATTAATACTGACATTCAACAAGTTCTTCCAGAAGTTACGTCTATCTCAGACAATGACTTTTGTAATCACTTGAATAGTTTAGCTAACGTTTAAAAGCTATTAGCTCAGGAGAGCTGTAATTTAAAGTAGTATATACGTTTTTAGGGCATAGCTCCTTTCAAACTCTGTTCATATTAATAGTTTGATTCCATAAACTTTGCTCTGTAGATGATGGTAGGATCCTTAGACCAATATTATAG